CAATGTCGGACCAAAATTTTGGTGTCGGGTTCGGTCGAGTTTCACATTGATTCCGGTAGTTTTCGATGTGCTGAGAACGAAAATGACAACCAATCTGCTCTCAAACCTAGACTTTGACCCAAAATTAAGTAGTTTCACACCAAAAGTGTGCCGGAGGGTTAGAAAGCGCGATTTCAGCTGCACTGTTAAAAATAATCGAAAATTAACGACATTTTGTAGAACAGTTGATCCAGGAAGCGGAAGAAGGGGACAAGTCCATTTTGGCCGTTTATCAGGAGAAAGAAAAAACTGAAAGCAGGGAAAACTGAAACAAACCACATGAATTTTGTAGATGATAACATGTTCAAAAAGCAAAAGTTAAATTTTGAGAAAAACATCAAAAGTGTCAGATCACTCCGTAGAGGGTTTCTGTGACTTATCACTTTCCGTTGTAATGGAAAACAGAGACATCTCAACTTGTATTTCCTAAACGGAGTGGAATTTGGAGACAAGTCAAGTGGAACTTAGCATAAAGTGCTTGTTGCTTGGTGCTTGTTGACTCCGGTTGAAAAGTTTTGTCTGTCCGTCTGTCTGTGTGTGTGTGTGTGTGTACACTACTACTCCTGAACGGCTCGGCCGATCTGGCTGAGATTTTGCAGGCTTATTAGGTATGTTCTTGGCTCGGCACACGCGACATTTCACCATCCTAGCTCAACTGGTTCAGTTTTTATAGCCGAAAAACACCTAAAAAACGGCGAAAAATCGAGTTTTCTGCAGGTAGATCACCTCTGTCTTGAAGAAAGGGGGGTCTGGGGGGCGGAGCCCCCCAGCTTCGACAAGTAAGAAAGTGACAAGGGTCAAGATCGTGTTATCTGTAGATGAAGCAACTCTATCTAGAATTAAGGGGGGTCTGGGGGGCGGAGCCCCCCAGCATGCAACACGTAAGAAGTAACCGACGATGGACAAGCCAATGCGAGGGGGCAAAAACTCGCGCAATCATGTGTACACGGCCCCCGAAATCACACGCGAATCATTGAGAATCACGCGAAATCAAGCAATCCGAAATCAGCCAAAATCACTAAAATCGACCGAAATTAGGCAGAATCACACGAAACGAGGCCAAATCAGTCCGAAATCATTTCTTTCCGAACACAATCACACGCAATCACGCTCAACATCACCCTGGTGCGTCGCGAAATAAGGCAAAATCAGCCATGAAATCAATTAAAACCATGCGCAATCATTGCGTTTTCCGAATCATGTGTACACGAAAATCCCGAGTTTTTGCCCCCTCGAGCCAATGCCTGCCGAAGGCAGGCTAGCGCCGCAGGCCAAGGTAGGTACGCCAGGCGCGGATTGGAGGAACAGGCCGCGAGACATCGCGAAGCCTGTTACGACAAGACGCGGTCTGGCGTAAACCTACCTTGTTACTCTGGTATATTTTTTGGACTTTTTGGAGTTAAAATAAAGGGAGCTTAAGTTGACTTGATTCTTTTAACACTAGATTCATTAAAATACAAGTTGAGTGATCTCCTATTGGAAATATTCTAAACGGAGTCATGTGGATTTCGGTTGAGTTGTTTCCATTTCCCGCTAAATTTAGAGCGTAAAAGGGGTCAAGTTGAGTTATATCCTTTTTCAATGTGGATTTTCTCCTTAACTACAAGGAATTTAGTCAAATAATTTGGTGTTATAATGTGAACCATTCTAAGGGGAGGGGCGGCAAGGGGGGGAATAGCCCCTCAGTGTCGTGGCGGTATCTCCACGCGATACCTCCTGGGTGGGGGCAGCACTGCATGGTTTGGCTTGCGCTACATATACGCTTTAAATTGCTTGCTTCCCAGCTAAGGCGCCAAACGCGTAAAGCGGCGTAGGCATGTGCATGCTAGTGCGGCGGACTTGTGCTAAATGCTTTTATCTTTGCATGGCTTGAGCGCGACAGCGAAGAAGTGGACGGAGGGAGGACGACTAGCCAGTGGACAACTTGAGGAGCAGCACAGGACCAGGACCAAAGTGGACGGAGAGGAGAATGGGGGCGCAAGATAGTGTTCCGCATCGGGCGGGTCGTCCGATTTTGCACCGCCCGATGGCGCTGACAGTTTACGGCCCGACAGCGTTGTCAGAAGCCGAACAGCGCTCGGTGGTACGGGGAGGGGGAAAAGGTGGTACTTCGGGGCTCTTCGGTGGTACGCGAGGGGGTGGGGGAAAGGTGGTACATTGGAGCCGTATGGTGGTACGGAAAGGGGGGTGGCTAAAAATTTACGCTAGGCGTAAACATCGGGAATTTAGAATTTGGCCAAATTGAGAATTCTGAAGAAGTCAGCGGCGGCTCCTCCGGCTGGTGTACAAGCAAGCAGGCCCGTTTTGTTGCCCGCGTGCCTCGGGCGGGGCCCAAAAGTGGCACTGCACTTTCAGTTTCCCGCGCCCGACCTGTCCGACCAGGGCCCCGTTCCTTGGAATAGGTCAGGAACGCAGGCAAAGGATTACATGTTCGACTTCTGGGGGACGACAACCCGACCCAGGCGCCCGATAAGTTCCAATTGCCTGCGTGCGGACCTAATCCGGTGTTTTCCCGGAAAAGGTGGTACGGAATCGCTCGGTGGTGGTACGGTGGTACGGGGCTCGAAATAGTGGTACATGTACCACCACACTGCGAGAAAAGATCGCGGTAAATCCTGTACTGATTACTCCAGACTTCACCGTACTTTTTTTAACAGGCAATTCCGTCGTTTTTTTACAGGCAATACCGTACTTTTTTATACAGGAAACACCGTACCTTTTTTACAGGGAATCCCGTACTTTTTTACCCGGCAATCCCGTACTTTTTATACCTATCAATAACTGCTATAATTTTGTTCAGTCGATTGACCCTCTTTTTCCAAGTTCCTGATGTACGCAACTGCTGAAGTCGGACTCCTGGACCCCTCTTCCGACCACTCGTTGGAAAGGTCTTTACGAGTCCTATTGAAAGGTGCAATAAAATTTTTCAGTCGGTTGACCCCCTTTTTTCAAGATCCTGATGTGGACACTTCTTGGAAGCGGCCTTTGTTGGGACCAGATCTGGTCTTTCCTACGGCATGGACTGTACGGAAGAACGGTAACTACTGTTAAAAGACTACGGAATATTTTGTAAAACAAGTACGGTAAATACTGTAGACTGTACGGAGGATACTGGTTTTTGAAGTACGGTAAAGTTTGGCAAAAAAATTATCCAGGATTTACCGTCATTTTTTCTCAGAGTGCAAGGTGGTACGTCTGGCAACACTGCGGCCCGATCCGGCCCGCCCGATGAGCAAGCGGCTCGGACGGCATCGGGCGGCCGTCAACCCGATCGTCTGGGCTACTTTTGCCGACTAGAGGGCAGCACCTGTCGGAACGGTTTGTGTCACATGCAGGGTGAGGGGCGGGGAGGGGCTGCTTCCGAGCCAGCCGATGTCCAAGCCGTGTCTTCGGCGGCACTTCGGAGCCACTTCGGTTTTTGAGTTTCGATGACACGTCGCGGTGCAGCGCTGCGGTCGAATTTTCACAGAACCCGACCGACCCGCCCAATGCGGAACACTAGCGCAAGACAACAGCAACAGGTAGGAGAGGAACCAAGTTTAATTTAACACTGGACACAACAATTACACAACCTCGTCATCTGAGCTCACGGCAGGCGCCATGGCATCCTCCTGCTGGACACGGGCCTCTTCAGAGAAGGCTAATTGATCACACACTGGAGCTTCCACAGCGTCAGGGAGCACCCTCACAGTGAAACAATAACAGGGCGAGTTGGGACCGAAATGCGAGCAGTCCGAATCGCTCCAGGTCCTCATCGAACGTAGCTGGCCAGAGGAGGGAGTGTGGAAGTGCCAGCTGGGCGTGGCGCTGGGTGTAGGGTTCTAAAAAAGCGTGAAAAATAAAATTTGAAAAAAAAAACATGAAAAAAAACGTTTTTTTCCCGAAAAAAACGGAAAAATATTTTTTGGGCCTGAAATGTCGTTTAAACGGGTGGCGCGAAGCTAGAGGGGAAGGGGGGGCGTAGTGGCGCGTTAGGTGGCAAAAAAACGAAGCTCACGCGGTGAGGGGTGGAGGCAGCGGAGGGGAGTGGCCGAGTGGCGTAGGCGGCAAAGGCGCGAAGGCGCAACGGGTGGCTTTATAGCGAGGAAATTTCTAAAACGTGAGTTGTGCCTTTTACTACTGCCTTACCAATCGGTTCATGTGGCATGGCTATCTTTTTTATAGATTTTTGACGTAGTGCTGTGTCACATGTTTGTCACACGATTGGTCTTATTGAACTGGCATTGATCTAAAGTAGGGTTATGTAACTAACTTTATATTTATTACTTCACAGCTCTACAGTATGGGTCGTAAAAAAGGAAAGGTGTGGGCCCATTTTGAAACGACAGATCTAGAAAGTAACCAAGCTGGAAAAAAGAAGTCTATATCTGTCTGCAACTATCGCAATACTTCATATCACTTTCCCAACGCCACCAGACTCAATGAACACTTAGCATCTCAGTGTTTGCCCTGCCCTCAGGATGTTAAAGACGACGCCAAGAAAGCTTTGAAGGGCACCAAGTCAAGCAAGGCAAGCAAGAAAAGATGTGATTGTGACAGAAGTGAAAGTGTGGATGACTGCGATGCTTGTGATATCACAGAAGTAGTTAAGAGTGCATCGAATGTCAGTGCTCAAGAAATACAGGTGACCAAATCTCATGATCATCCCATGAAGCAAATGTCCATGTCTTCTTTTGTGGAGAAGACATCTGATGACAAAAAAAAGAAGATTGATGAGACGATTGCTCGAGCTATATATGTTTCTGGAGCGGCCTTGAGTATGTTTGAGAATCCGTACTGGATAGATGCCTTGAAAGAATTGAGGCCTTCATATAGTCCTCCCTCTGCATATGAATTTTCCAACCCACTCTTGAATGCTGAATACTCAAGAGTAATGAGCAGTGTTTCTGGTAAACTTAAGTCTGCAGTCAGTTGTGCCTTACTTAGTGATGGATGGTCCAATAATAGGCGTGAAGGTATTATTAACTTTCTTGTCTCAACGCCTGCGATAACCGAAGTCTTGGTAAAATCAATAGTTTGTCCTTCATTTTCCCTGTAAGCACCTGAACGGTGATTGTATGAACTCCAAGGGCAACAATCTTTCCACGAGTGCCATTGACAATACCACGAGACAGGCACAAATTAGTTGGAATAATGATCATAGCATTCAATTTTAAATGCAGCTCATGTGGAGGAAATGAGGAGCTCTCAATTTTTTGAGCCAATAAATCTGGCCTAGAAAAGTCCATGACTTCTTCTCCTTCGTCATCACGATTATTAATTTCTGATTCAGCCTGTCTTTCCCAGCTTGAGTGACCAAAATAAGTACTTAGAGGTCCAAAGATGAGTTCCAAAACCGCCAGATTAATCACACGGCATGCATGGTTTGTAGGAGTCAACACTGCTAGTCGGGGATTTTCAAAATCATTCCTGAAGACGGCATTAATCAATTCATCTAGATTGAGATAGTTGTTAATTTTCCGGCGAGATGTTCCCTTTCCCAGGTACTGAGGTATAATAATGGTCTCAGGATTAACTTGATCATTTGCCTGTCCAGTGGCAACATTTCTCAAAAACTTAGCGAATTCGTGATCTCTGCGTGCTCTCTCATTTTGAATGAGAGGAAGTCGAAGTTATTCCAGTTTCTGTTGCCAAGAACACACTCCGCAACTGGATCTTCATGACTCTCAACAATTGGAAGAATCTGTAGGAAATCGCCGCTCACAACGACCACTTTCCCTCCAAAAGAAGTGACTTTACCCAAGTTTTCATCCATCATGATATCCTGTAACAAAATATCTGACAATAACAAGGCTCCAAAAACATTAAAAATGGCAACTCAAATGAAAATACTTACACATAGAACGTTGTCAATTACGTCTAGGTGCCAACTCCGCATCATAGACACCTCATCAATACAGTGAAGGTCCGCTGCCCTCAACCGTGTAGCTCTTGCGGATTCCATCCCAATTGAACTGCGAGGCTCATCTTGTCGCCGGTGGAGCGGGATGCCATACCCAGTGTGGCACGTCGTTCCGTTTGGCAGAGGTTGAGCGGCGTTGCCACTAAACGCTGTACACACTGTGCTCTTTCCAAGACGTCTCATTTCTTCATCAAGTACTTGGTACAAGTGTTTATTAAAAATGTTGTTCCAGGGGAGCAACGTGAGGATGCTGACTTTGTTTCGAATAAGTTGATCACTGTTGTTGAGGAATGTGAAGAGAAATATGATCTTAACAATAAGAAGTTTTTTATTCTGATAACTGACAATGCATCAGTGATGAAAGCCGCCTGGGTTTTATTTCTAGAACGCTTTCCCCTCATGACTGCAGCGGCTTGCAGTGCTCATTCGTTCAATTTATTGTTGAGTGACATCATGAACTTGCAATCACTGTCTGATTTTTATTTAAAAGTTAAGGCTGTTGTCAAAGCGGTAAAATACAAGTCTGTTGTCAAAGCTGTGTTCGAAAGTAAGCAAGAGTCAAATGGAGTATCACTGAAACTTCCACCTTCAACTCGTTGGTGTTATGTTGTCATTTGCTTAGAGTCATTGTTGGCCAATAAGTACCCATCGCAAGAAACTGTGATAAGTGTGCAACTTAAGGATTTAATTTCTAAAGAAGTGCGTAATGATGTCTTAGATGGTGATGGCTTCTGGGAAAATGTCAAGAAGTTCCATGATTACTTACTTCCTTTGCATTTAGCTATTAAGAAAGTGGAGAGTGATTCTGCTACTTTGTCTATTGTACCTGAATTATCACATGATATCCGCACCAAAATGCAAGGTGAATTATTGTCAAACCTTAATATAACATCAGGGGAGGAAACAATTGTGCAAAGGGCTATTACTGAAAGATTGTATCACTGTAATTTAGAAGTCCACTTTGCTGCTAACTTACTAGACCCTCGCTTTAAGGGGAGAAAATTGGATAGTTTTGAAATCCATGCTGCAATGGATTACATAAACCAACAATGTGGCCACCTTGGCCTCAACAAAGGTTTAGTTTTAGCAGATCTAGCTTCATACAGAACAAACACTGGGTTCTATGAAAGGCAATATTTGTGGGACTCTGCCAAAGCTCTTATGCCTGCTGTTTGGTGGGGTGGGCTGTGTGCGAGTCAGCCGTTGGAGCCCTTAGCTTCTCGCATACTCTCAGTGCCCCCAACTTCAGCTGGGTGTGAAAGAGATTGGTCGATCCAGGCTGGAATCCATAAGAAGACCAAAAATAGATATAAGAATGAAAGAGTAGAGAAGCTGAAAGCAATTAAGCAGAACCTTCAGTACTCTGCAAATGCTTTGTTGTCTAAAAAGAAAAAAAAAGCAACATCCTCTGATGATACCCAAGTGACTGAAAATTGTGATAATGATAATGCTGACCCTGGTCCGGATGAAAATGGGATTGAACCGTTTGATGAGTTTGCTTCAACTGACTCGGGTTCTGATTCTGACACCGCTGTGTCAGATGCTGAGTCACAATTTACAAGCGGGGATGAAGAACCCCTTTCTATGGTTAGGGCTAATGACGCCCAAAAACAGGCAGAGAGTATGACTAAAAAGTAACGTCCTAGTTCATAAAATGTGATAAACATTTTCTCTTAATTGAAAACTATTACTATATGTGTTAATTAAGATACATTCTATGTATGTTTATGTTCTTAAGCAATGTTTTGACATTTTATTTAATTTTATAGAAATGTTTCTTTGTTAAACATGTGTCCATCTAAGTCACAATGTATGAGTGTCTTTTACTAGTATTGACATTAAAACCAATTATTTCAAAGTGGGCGAATCCAGGTCAACTTGAACGGGGTTTGACCCCGACCCCCTCAGAACTTGCTCCAAACAGTCTTAAATCATTGGTCTATACCTAAAATCACCCCCAAAAAAATTTGGTTGAAAAATATTAACATTTGGCTGAGCTGTGGCGCTTTTTGTTTTTTGGTCAATTTTAGTGAAATTAGTACAATGAAAATTTGAAAAAACAATTTTTTCACGAAATGGGGATTTTTGAGGCCTGATTTGTTTGATATGAGTTGTCTTATGATAGACCAATGCAATTCTGGTCATAGACCCCACCTCACTCAATTTGCACTGAAGGCTGAAGAATTTCTAGTAATTTTACCTAAAAATCGAAATATTAAACCTTGCCCCACCTTTCAAAATTCATTTCTATGCATGAAAATCTACCTTAGGGCCCTGGCAACAACATATAAAAAATCTGGGATGGAGTTTTTCATTTTAAGGAAATCGTTCCAGAAAGCGCTACTTTTGACTTGTCGATTTAGCTAAAACGCATGAAATTTCACCAAATATAAAGTACGATGAGGTCAATCTTGCTATTTAAGCCTCTTTGGGCAGTATCAGAGGCCAATGGAGTTTGAGGGGAGTAAAAAAGAACATATATAAAATTTGCACTTGTACTACGAACACCAACTTCTGACAACTTTTGAATAGGAAGCCCAAGAAAATATAATCCGTATTAACCAAGTGGATCTGGGGGAGTTGTTAATCAATTTTTACCAGTTACTTCTGCTGTCTGTCTCATTTTAGTTCACTTCTGTCCTGTCGTTTGTGTCTGGAGAGAATGCCAATTCTTATTGTTGAGCCTCCAAATCAGTTTGGTGATGGAACCCAAACAGCCAACTCAACTCGAGACGAAACCAACCATATAGAGTAACTCCAGCCCATGGCGGAACGAAATCCGGGCTTGGGTCACGGAATCGGTTCAAGCTTTGTTGGTTCAATTGATACCAGTATGACATATCAACCCTAGGTGCATAGTTGGCTAGCTCAAAGAACACTTGAGATATCTGCATTTTGCTGTATTTGACTAATTTAGCGGGAAAATGACGCTTTCTGATTATTAGATAGTTAAAGTTGTTTCTACAGTTCTGGCTAGTCATGATTTTATCTAAATGAAGGGTAGGCAGGAAAAGGAAACACAAGCTAGAACTGAAAAAAACAACTTTGTTATCAAAAAATCAGAAAGCAACATTTTTCCGCTAACTTTGTTAAATTTAGGAAAATGTAGACATCTCAAGTGTTTTTGGAGCTAGCCAACTTTGCACCTGGGGTTGATATGTCCTACTGGTATCAATTGAACCAACAAAGCTTGAACCGATTCCGTGACCCAAGCCCGGATTTCGTTCCGCCATGGGCTGGAGTTACTCTATAAACAGGTTTCGTCTCGAGTTGAGTTGGCTGTTTGGGTTCCATCACCAAACTGATTTGGAGGCTCAACAATAAATAAGAATTGGCATTCTCTCCAGACACAAACGACAGGACAGAAGTGAACTAAAATGAGACAGACAGCAGAAGTAACTGGTAAAAATTGATTAACAACTCCCCCAGATCCACTTGGTTATTACGGATTATATTTTCTTGGGCTTCCTATTCAAAAGCTGTCAGAAGTTGGTGTTCGTAGTACAAGTGCAAATTTTATATATGTTCTTTTTTACTCCCCTCAAACTCCATTGGCCTCTGATACTGCCCAAAGAGGCTTAAATAGCAAGATTGACCTCATCGTACTTTATATTTGGTAAAATTTCATGCGTTTTAGCTAAATTGACAAGTCAGAAGTAGCGCTTTCTGGAACGATTTCCTTAAAATGAAAAACTCCATCCCAGATTTTTTATATGTTGTTGCCAGGGCCCTAAGGTAGATTTTCATGCATAGAAATGAATTTTGAAAGGTGGGGCAAGGTTTAATATTTCGATTTTTAGGTAAAATTACTAGAAATTCTTCAGCCTTCAGTGCTAATTGAGTGAGGTGGGGTCTATGACCAGAATTGCATTGGTCTATCATAAGACAACTCATATCAAACAAATCAGGCCTCAAAAATCCCCATTTCGTGAAAAAATTGTTTTTTCAAATTTTCATTGTACTAATTTCACTACACTGGTAAAACAAAGGCATAAAAATTACGCCCTTTAGGGCATAAATACTCTTTTACGCCCTTGCAAGGGCATAATCGGTTTATGCCCTTGGGAAGGGCGTAAATGGTATAGGAATTTCAAGCTAAATTTTAATGCCCTTCCCAAAGGCATTTACGATTTATGCCCTTTAAGGGCGTAAATCGTTTACGCCCTTTAGGGGCATAATTTTTATGCCTTTGTTTCACCAGTGTATAATTGACCAAAAAACAAAAAGTGCCACAGCTCAGCCAAATGTTAATATTTTTCAACCAAATTTTTTTTTGGGTGATTTTAGGTATAGACCAATGATTTAAGACTGTTTGGAGCAAGTTCTGAGGGGGTCGGGGTCAAACCCCGTTCAAGTTGACCTGGATTCGCCCAAGTGTGTTTTTTATTTTTATTTTCATACCTGGGTGTTGATATTGACCTAACTAAGCTTGCCAGCATGTCAAATAAGCAAAATAGCAAAACTACATCAAAAAGTACCAAAATTAAGAAAAAAACATATTTTTCCGGAAAAATTGCTGAAATAAAAAGCCGAAAAAAAACAGTTTTTTTCCCGTTTTTTTCATGTTTTTTTTTCGGCCTTTAGAACCCTAGCTGGGTGGCGGCGACGCTGGCGACGCAATGGACGGGGACGCAGAACGGCCCTCCAGGCGGGACGGAGTATGATGGCCTGGCGGGTACATTCCCCAGCCGGGGTCATTTGAAGGGCCTGCAATTGCGGGCGGAGACTCCAGAACATGGGGCCCCTCGGCGGCTGCTGGCGAAGGCGCTCCCAGACGCCCCTCGGCCCACTCCCTCAGCGCGCCCAGCGGAGTTCCTAATGAGCAAAATCAACTAAGACGGACCACTTCCACTTCCCGGACCCTCTCCGATTTGCCTGATTTTTTGTAGGCTTAATAACTCACTAAAGGAGAGTCTAAAGCCAAAATATTAGGTCCCGCGAAAATTTATTACCCGAGATATGGCCAACTTTTGTTTAACTTTTGGAGAAAAAACACGAATTTGGGTATTTTGGACTAATTTTACACTTTTCATAGTAGAGGGCTAAAATTTGGTCACTTTATGTAAAATTGGCCAAGGAAAGAGAATATGACCTCAGATTTGACCTCCGACGAATACCTGACGAGTAAACCCCCCAAAACATCCTAAAAACATATTAAAAAAAACAGTTTTTTCTTGGGGTTTCTGGGAAAAATATGTGAACAAAAATTTCTGATGATCTTATCTTGTAGAAAATGACGCGAGGAATCGAATGAGACCACGCGCAGATTTTTATGCCAAACCGTTTAGGAGATATAGCGGTTCAAGTATGAAAATTTTGCCATTTATTTTTAAAAAATGCAGGTTTTGAGCATAGTTTGACGTTTTTTGCCTCCTTGGTGCGTGTGGGTATTCTTATCTTGTGGAAAAAGACGCGCTGAATCGAATGAAACCACGCACAGACCTGTATCTCAAACGGTTTAGGAGATATAGCGATTCAAAGTATGGGCACTGTAGTCCGCCCGCCCAACAGGCGTGTTTGGCGGCTCTGCCTTGTCGGGTGTTTGCAGGAGCTCTTCCGAGCCCATACTTTAAATCACTATATCTCCTAAACGGTTTGAGATACAACTCTATGCGTGGTCGCATTCGATTCAGCGCGTCTTTTTCCACAAGATAAGAACGCCTACACGCACCAAGGAGGCAAAAACGTCAAACAATGCTCAAAACCTGCATTTTTTAACAAATAAATGGCAAAATTTTCATATTTTGAACTGCTATATCTCCTTAACGGTTTGACATAAAAATCTGCGCGTGGTCTCATTCGATTCATCGCGTCATTTTCTACAAGATAAGATCATCAGAAATTTTTGTCCACATATTTTTCCCAGAAACCCCAAGAAAAAACTGTTTTTTTACGTGTTTTAGGATGTCTTGGGGGGTTTACTCTTCAGGTATTCGTCGGAGGTCAAATCTGAGGTCATATTCTTGTTCCTTGGCCAATTTTACATAAAGTGACCAAATTTTAGCCCTCTACTATGAAAAGTGTAAAATTAGTCCAAAATACCCAAATTCGTGTTTTTTCTCCAAAAGTTAAACTAAAGTTGGCCATATCTCGGGCAATAAATTTTTGCGAGACCTAATATTTTGGCTTTAGACTCTCCTTTAGTTAGTTATTAAGCCTACAAAAAATCAGGCAAATCGGAGAGGGTCACCGGTAGAAGTGGTCCGTCTTAGTTGATTTTGCTCAATCCTGCAAAACACAACAAATCAGACCTGCACAACACAGGGGGAGGGGAAAGGGGCGGAAGTCCATACTCACCAATGCTGTAGCGATTTTCAAACAGCCACACGAACAGAGACGAAGCCCAGTGGGGGTCATCCTCCAACGAATACAGATGCGACACTAGATGGGCACCAACTCGTTGAGAGGCCGGGGACACTTGAACAGGTGCCACGGTCGGACCGCCGGGCACAAGCACTGCCACACAACAACACTGTCAGAACCACATCGGCACATAATCAGCACAACACAAAACTTACAGGATGGGTCGGCGGAGGCTCGGAGGGCAGTCATCAGGTCATCCCACACATCCTCAACGGAGCGCGACATTATAACAACAGCTGTACTCTCTGCGGACACTGGGGTACGAATGGGCCCGATCAGCTGATCGGGCTCACCTGCCTCGCCGCCACACACACACACACACACCCTCCCTCCGGCTGGCTGGCATGGTCCGTTTCGGGCGGGCAGCACGGCTCGGACGCGGGGGGGGGGGGGGGGGGGGGGACGGCCCAGCCACCGATCCCTCCGCCCCCCCCCCTCCTCCCCCTCACTCACCACCCTTCCTGCCGGAGGGAAGGCGGCACACTACGGCGACCATCCGAACCAGTAAGTGCGTGCGCGGATCACTAGCTAACGGAGCGACGTAGGGAGCGCCGGCAGCACCACCAGCGGTAAGCAGCAAGCAGACGACGCGGAGGCGAACGCTGACGTCAGTAGTGCATTGTTTACAAGTGATGTTTACTAACAGGTGGAGCATGACTGAGGCCTACGGGGTACTGGTGGAGATCGAGGACGGCAACAATGTGGTCAGCTGCGAGCCACCAAGGGATGGGCTGGAATCGGCCTTGGAAGCGACGGCACTGGCGAAACGACCGGATGACCCCAGGGCGGCCAAGTTCAGGGCCTTGGACTTGCGCGTGGCCATGCACTCGCTGATGGCGCGCAACCCTCTGCGCTACCAACTTGAGTTAGCGGCGTATGCGGCGGAGCACCACCTGCACCCGGAAACGGACGGGCGCCGCGCCCTGCAGGGCCTTCAGCTTTTCAGGAAGCATGAATCGGTGGTCCCGGAGGGCATGCTACGTCAACTGGCGGAGATACTAGCTAGATCTGTGATTGTGTATCAACAGGGCACCCCGGCGAGGATCTACAGGACAACTGGAGCCCAGAACGACGTCCCGCCGATCAGGCTGGCGTGCTTCAGCAGGGCGGTTGGGCCCCCTCGATACTCCCCTGTGGTGGAAGTGGCTCCTTTGATCTTTGCCCCTCAGGCAGATGAAGCAGCGCCGCTAGTCATAGGGAAGGCAAAATACGCGAGATGTTTCGTAACAATAGGACTTTGCCCTGTGACTACGCGAGCCAAGTACTATCGAGTATGACACGAAGAGTGCACCCGGTGGCTTCATAAGCTGAACAATAAAAGTAGAATTCAGAAGCGGAAAATTATCCTTCTATTCGACAACTGCCCTGTCCATCCACAGCTAGTAGAACTTTCAATTTAAGATGGTATTTTTGCCAAAAATACTACTTCATACTTCAGCCCATGGACCAGGGCATAATACGCAATGTGAAGCACTACTATCGCACCCGCTATCCAGCGTCTCTGCAACTTTATTGGAAAACCAAATGTGGAGCGCAAAGACTGCCCGATAAATGTCTACCAAGCACTTCACTTCCTCCAGGTGCGTATACCAATCCCACCGCTGCAAATGTTAGTGCCTTTAAATTAAAACTTCTCATAAGATTTTGTTGTTTGTTTTTGCAGTGGGCTGGAGTCCAGTGAAGCCGGACACTATCAAGAACTGTTTCAAGAAAGCAGGGGTGCGAGAGTTTTCCGAGGCCGACTACGCCGAAGCTGAAGCGGGAGCAGGAGAACAACTAGCTGCCGAGCTGCTCGGGAAGCTCTAGCTGACAATAAGATGAGAATTCAGAAGCGGAAAATTATCCTTCTATTCGACAACTGCCCTGTCCATCCACAGCTAGTAGAACTTAAAGATGGTATTTTTGCCAAAAAATACTACTTCAATACTTCAGCCCATGGACCAGGGCATAATACGCAATGTGAAGCACTACTATCGCACCCGAATAGTCCAGCGTCTCTGCAACTTTATTGGAAAACCAAATGTGGAGCGCAAAGACTGCCCGATAAATGTCTACCAAGCACTTCACTTCCTCCAGGTGCGTATACTCAATCCCACCGCTGCAAATGTTAGTGCCTTTAAATTAAAACTTCTCATAAGATTTTGTTTGTTTGTTTTTGCAGTGGGCCTGGAGTCCAGTGAAGCCGGACACTATCAAGAACTGTTTCAAGAAAGCAGGGGTGCGAGAGTTTTCCGAGGCCGACTACGCCGAAGCTGAAGCGGGAGCAGGAGAACAACTAGCTGCCGAGCTTGCTCGGGAAGCTCTTGCTGGCGGTGGACGTGGACGTGGACGCGGGTCGCGTGGCGGTCGCAGTGCTCCCGCTACTCGTGGAGCTGCACGTGGCGCCCGTGGCACTCGTGGCATCCGTTGCGGACGCGGGTCCCGTGGAGGACGCGGTGCTCGCGGTGGCCGCGGGGGTCGTGGCGGAGGCCGTTGCATCGTTTCTGATAGTGAGGACTCGGACGTCGACGGCGACCTGGATCAAGAGAGCTCCACCTCGGAGGACGAAGATGAACCCAACGAGGACGTCACCGACACCGAGGCTGACCAGGACGACGAACAAGAGCACGCCGTTGTCGAGCCCGAGAACAGCATTGAGGTTGACGAGGACGCCGCGGAGGAGGACGGTCTTGAGGACGAGGGCGCCGAGGAGGGCGCCCAGGAGGACTACGACGTTGAAATGCAGGATGCCACTGAGTCCAGAGAAGACGATGAGGAGATTGACTTCGTGGAGGTCGAGGAGAATGAGGAGATCGAGCTGATACCCATCGATGAAACCATCAAAGACAAGTAAGTTTGCTCTCTTTCACGGCGATAGATGTTCCACATTTTCTGCAGGTGGTTGATTATGTATTCTATCTACGCTTTAGATGGGAAGATGTGTGCCAGCTGCTCTAGAAACTGAAGAGTGTGCATGGCATGCTCCCCAAGGAAGTATGCCACAAAGCACGCTCCATTCTGGAGTGTGCTTGCAAGCACACTCTACGGAGGAGCATGCTTGGCAAGCACACTCTACGGAGGAGCATGCATGGCAAGCACACTCTACGGAGGAGCATGCTTCAAAGTACACTCCAGGATGAAGGCGTGCCTCTTCGTTCATATGAGCCTTGCAATAGCGACGCAGCACGCTTTATCCTGGAGTGTGCTTGGAAGCATGCTCCTCCGTAGAGCGTGCTTGCCAAGCATGCTCCTGGGAAGAGTGTGCTTGCAAGCACACTCCAGGGTGGAGATGGAGCGTGCTTTGTGGCATACTCCCTGGGGGAGCATGCCATGCACACTCTTCAGTTTCTAGAGTGCTTGGTCTTGAAGGCGATGTTTCCTTCGAACGCTTCACGGTAAAAACGGTACCTGGTTTTCCCAGGAGCCCTATGGCGAAGACATAGCCGATTTCCAGGGGGTTCCTGGGAAAACCAGGAACCGTTTTTACCGTGTTCGTCTCCGCCGATGACAATTTGGCGGTGTACGAGGTGTGGTCAGCTGAGAGGTTCGCGGACGAGCAGATAGGACTCCGTCCCGTCCCAGCCGAGGATGTCCGTGACGAAGAAGATGGAGACGATGAGGCCCCTGCCACACCCGTCACCATGGCTCAGTGTCTCGAAGGCTTGGAAACGCTGAAACGTTACCTTTGCCAACAGGAGAACTTGCCAGAGGACATAATCACCATGATGAACAGAATGGAAACTGTAGTTTTAACATCTCAGATTAAAAAGCAAACCAGCATCACAGATTTTGTTAAGCCCTTGTGACTGGTTTAATTTTAAGTTAATTTAAACTAATGCTTTAGTTACCAAATGGACATATGATTTTATTTCCTGTAATGACTGTGCTAGTCACTAAAATAAAAGTTGAATAAAACTTTTCCACTCATAACTTCCTTGTTCTTTAATATCCATTTTCTGCCTATGATTTCCACAATTTTTTTAGTAGTGTTGCTCCTCAGCTGGTTCTCTTTTCCCCATCGGTATCCTTCGGCCCATTTTCCCTTTAAAATATCAGCTACCCGCCCAAATTGCTTAAATATGACTAATTTAGCTCTGATTTGACTCGGGGGGGGGGGGGTCCCCCTGAAAAACGTCGCGTTTTCCCTTTTATCGCTTATAACGTTTCCCGTTTATAACGTTTGTTTAACCGTGCAAGTCGGCCGCAACGTTATAAGCGGGACCCACTGTCATTGTATCTTGCTCAATATATTGCAAATTATCTTGCGCAATACGTGGTTCATAAATGGGGGTATATCTTGGTGCCCGTTTATATATGATGCATATATTCCCCCATATAATATTATCTTCGCTAAATGTATGTTTCAATATCTGACACGGTGCCCGTCGTGGGATGGGGCAGGGTGAGGAGGGCAGACTTTTCAAGTAACTTTTCTTAAAATCTTGGCACTGGATGTTGTAAGGCGGCTATATTTCTCAACATGATTTTGTATTGTAAAATATATTGACGCCATATATTGAGCAGGGGAAAGGTTCTTTTCTATGCGTTTAAGTCTCCAAGAAATTTTGAGAAATCCTGTTTAACAAGTTAACTGGAACAGTTCGGAAATTTTAAACGTCTTTTTTGGGCGGAGCGCGAAAAGTTCTTCTAGGCGACCACAACGAAGTGGCTGACAAAGATTTCACTAAAAACTTTTTGTGACGCTCTTATTTAACCTGAGAAAAAGGTTACCAAAAACACAGTAATCGGCAGCTAAAATACAGTTATCGGCACCCTTTATGACAGTTATCGGCACAAAGGCAAAACATGACCGAAAGTGACGAAAATTTCTAACAGTCGTCACAGACACTCTATATCACCCCTTGACATGTCACGAACCCCCTCTCTCTTCTGTTATGCCTCTTGCGCCCTTCATTTTAGACTCACGGACAACTAGCACCATGAGCTGCGAAAAAACAACCTCTCAAAGCGCCGAGGAGGACATTTCGTAAATCACGTAGATCACTGGGAAATAGTGGTCCGATTTCATTCAAATTTGGCAGGGGTCTTCCTACGGTCATAATGCATCAGAATATTAACTCCCGGACGACGCCCGAAACACTAGTGAAGTTTGAGGCCACCCTGACGATAACTGTGTTTGGGGTGATATCTCTGGTGCAGTTATCGACACCCCCCGAATGAGGGCAAGCAAGAGGAATTTCTGTGCACCAAGAACAGTATGCCTTCTTCAATAGATGGGGAGAAGGAACCTGGCAAGGAGAATAGTTTTTTCCGGCCCACTTTCACGAATTTAACGAAAGATTGAACCCCTGTTCCTAGCATAGAAGATAAGAACGGGCGGCCGACCCGAGATGAAACGCCCATCGGAGAATTGCCGGGGGACCACCCGGGTACTCCCCGGGAACACCTAGAGAACTACCGGGGGGGAACTACCGGGGAACACCCGGGGAATACCCGGAGAACACCCGGAGAACACCCGGAGAACACCCGGAGAACACCCAGAGAACACCCGGAGAACACCCGGAGAACACCCGGAGAACTCCCGGAGAACTCCCGGAGAACGCCCGGGGAACGCCCGGGGAACGCCCGGGGAACTCCCGGGGAACTCCCGGGGAACTCCCGGGGAACTCCCGGGGAACGCAATTTTCGCCGGAAAATTACCGGGGAACCGCCTTTAAGCTGCGGAAATCACTCTACAAAAAATGTCCTGTCAACGCCGTTAATTTAATACCAATGTTTGCTGTTATTCAATTCACGGCGTTCACTGTGATCTCGGTTACAGTGTTCACTGTGATCTGGCCACAGTAAACGCCGTGAATTGGAGCCTGATTTGCAGTACTTCGGTGCTCAGCGGCGTCAAACTCACAGTGTTCACTGGGGACCAGATCACAGTGAACACCGTGAACAAGATCACAGTGAATCGTGTGAGCAGATCACAGTAAACGCTGTGAATTTACCTACAGTGAAAACTGGTAATAAATTAACTGCATTTACAGGACATTTTTGGTAGAGTGATGGCCAGGGCAGCGCGCCATACCGATTCTTGGTGATGCGGACGGGTGCGGACTTTGGAGAAGGGCTGGAGTGCTGACGTGCGGCGGCGGCCGAGAATGTGCCTTTGTCACTCTTACTCCACGTTCCGTCCGTTGTTTTGATCGGACGCCGACTTGGTTGGCACCTTTGGATTCGGAAAGGATCAACACGAACACTGTTCCAACTTTTAAGTTTACAATTGTAGCTGCTAACTAACTAAGGGCGAGATGAACGGCGCGCACAGCGACGGAAAGGGGCTCCGCGTCGCGTTGGCCTGGCTCAGGTCCGGGCGCGGGCGGCCTCACACGGAGGCTGCCTGCCGCCGGCTCGCATCTTATCCGCAGCCACCAGGCACGCAGGGAGCCGTCGCGCAAGATTTGTTGGGAGTTAAGATTTTGATAAACGAACTTGATCAGTACACGCATTGGCCCTTTCTGAATCCAATGGTGAATCCAAGGCAGATAATCGCACTCCGTAACAAAGGCATGCAAAAGGAAGGTCCAAAAACCAATTGCCCGTTGAGGGAGGACAAAATACCGCCTCGGATCAGACGCAGTGGATGCTTAAAGTCAGCCCAAAACAGGAATTTTCAAAGACATTAATGACCGTTTTGATCAACTTTGCGGCAGTACTGCTCCCAAACTAAGGCAGATAATCGCACTCCGTAACAAAGTCATGCTAAAGGAAGGTCCAAAGACCAATTGTCCGTTGAGGGAGGACGAAAGACCGCCTCGGATCAGACGCTCAGCCCGAAACACGATTTTTCACAAACATTTGTGACCGTTTTGATCAACTTTGAGACAATACTGCTTCCAGATTAAGGCGGATTGTCGCACTCTGTATCAAAAGCATGCTAAAGGAGGGGTCGCGTGGGGTCGCGAAAATTAGAGTCTAGGGTGCCCTTTTCGCAAAGTGCCGAGTTGCGGAGCACTCAATGGTGGACGGATAGGCAAGGCTGACATGAGCCGTTCATTTTTTTATCCCTTGGTCAGGCTTTGAGAGCGGTAACTCACGCCATTCTTCCACTGAAAAAGATGTGGAGCACCTGCTGCGCTGGTTAGGGTAGGCAAGCCAGGTCGACGCGCATGCCGACCACGTGACAACGCGTGTCGACAGCGCGACGGAGCCCCTTTCCATCGCTGTGCGCGCCGTTCATCTCGCCCTTAGTTAGCAGCTACAATTTTAAACTAAAAAGTTTGAACAGTGTTCGTGTTGATCCTTTCCGAATCCAAAGGTGCCAACCAAGTCGGCGTCCGATCAAAACAACGGACGGAACGTGGAGTTAGAGTGACAAAGGCACATTCTCGGCCGCCGCCGCACGTCAGCACTCCAGCCCTTCTCCAAAGTCCGCACCCGTCCGCATCACCAACAATCGGTAAGGCGCGCTGCCCTGGCCATTTCCGCAGCTTAAGGCGGTTCCCCGGTGGTTTTCCGGCGAAAATTGAGTTCCCCGGGAGTTCCCCGGGTGTTCTCCGGGAGTTCTCCGGGAGTTCTCCGGGAGTTCTCCGGGTGTTCTCCGGGTGTTCTCCGGTGTTCTCCGGGTGTTCTCCGGGTATTCCCCGGGTGTTCCCCGGTAGTTCCCCGGTAGTTCCCTAGGTGTTCCCGGGGAGTACCCGGGTGGTCCCCGGCAATTCTCCGATGGGCGTTTCATCTCGGGGAAGCGGCCTCAATCTGCACTCGACTAGAAACGTGGCTCTGTTGGCTGACATGCTCAGTCAAACGCGATGCTGTCTCGGTCCTGCATGCTCAAAAGGTGTCTCTAGCGACCTGCATTGGCCGCATCACTAACGGACGCGTACTTGCAGAGCAGGACCCAATTATTCGCCGAGATGACGATAACTGTACCCCTACCGATAACTGTATAGTTTACCCTATTTTCCATTTTGCAAGGGTTGTAACTTCCGTGATAACGTAATTTCCGTGACCTTAACACCCGCTAAAACGTATGGGAATACCTTAGTGCTCATGTTTTTAGGAAGGTAGTACAAGGTGTTTACTATAAATACCATTCCCATGGGTCTAGCATCATTCAGGACCCCAATAATCCGAAAAACATAATTGGATATTTCTCGTAATTGGATATCGTAATTGGCTGAGCGAAAGCGAAGCCTGTTACTCCAGTGGGGTTGAAAAGTTTTTTCTGTCTGTCTGTGTGTGCGACCGCACTATAGTGCGGAGTATACTCCTCCTGAACGGCTCGGCCGATCTCAGTGAGATTTTGCACACTTTTAGCGTATGTCCGTGGCTCGGCGCACGCGAAATTTCACTGTCCTAGCTTAACTGGTTCAGTTTTTAAAGCCAAAAAACACCTAAAAACTGCGAAAAATCGAGTTTCCTGCAGGCAGATCACTTCCGTCTTGAAGAAAGGGGGGTCTGGGGGGCCCTCGACAAGTTAAAAAGTAACAAGGGTCAAGATCGTGTTATCTGAAGATGAAGCAACTCCATCTTGAATGAAGGGGGTGGGGGGCGGAGCCCCCCAGAATGCAACAAGTTAGAAGAAACCGACGATAGCCAAGCAATTGCCAGCCGAAGGCAGCCTAGCGCCGCAGGCCAAGGTAGGTACGCCAGGCGCGGATTGGAGGAACAGGCAGCGAGACATCGCGAAGCCTGTTACGACAAGACGCGGTCTGGCGTAAACCCTCCTCGTTTATTTATGGAATATGGCGTGAAGTTATGACTTCAGTCGTACATTTGCGACTCTGGTCGTAAATTTGTCTTATGAATCGTAAATGAACAACACAAATCGTAAATAAGCGAGCAAAATTTTAACTATTCGCCAACTTTTCGGGGATTTCAGATTTTAAAATTCATAATCGCAATTACGACATTATCGTAGAGGAATGACTTTTTAGTCGTTCAGTTACGACGAAGTTGTTAAAGAACGACTTCCGTCGCTATGAAAATAAGTGAATTTTTGGTCGCTAATTTACGACAAAATTTCTGACAGTGTGAAGGCAGAAAAAGGCCGCTTGTTGTAGATAGTGTCTCGCTTTTTAATCATAAAGGAGAAACTTTATAAAGTAATCATTCATGCTTTTGACAGAACCTTATAGATAAAACAAAACAATTGGAGAAGCTTAAGGTTTCTTTCACAGGATTAAGGCTCATCACGGAATAAACATAAAATCTTCACCAAGCAATCGTTCATGACGTTGTCCAAAATTACTTATATACAAACAAAAAAAATTAAAACCTAAGGTTTCTTTCCCTAAGGTTTCTTTCAGGGCTTATCACGAAAAAAAAATGAATCAATCAAGAATCTTATTGAAATCAGGCCTCATCAACGAAGATATCAAATTGCAGCTTCAGGGCGGGCCTCTGGTCATCGATGTGAAAGTGGCAGGTCCTTGTCTTCTCTGGAGGCAGGAATTTGCCTGCTACAATTTTCCCCACTGCGAGGGTGTCGGTGGGCTGAGCAGGCGGAGTGGCGGAGGCGATGGGCTGAGCGCCCTCAGGGGCTGCTTGTGCTTGGCCGGCGGGCTGCGCCGCTCCGACCGACGATGAAGAGCTCCCACCGCCGCGAATTCTCAGCATCAAGTGCAGAAAGGACTGATCCCCGACGCCAGACTCGCAGAGAGTGAGCTCGTCTTCGAGCGGCGCTCGCATCATGAGGTACATCTCCTTAGACGCAGTCTCAAGACCAACACGGTCCTTGACCGCCTCCTTGACCGCCTGAAACACAACCGACAGCAAATTTCAATCGGTTCTTCAAATTTCTCCAAGGTCTTTACGTAACACAACACTCTCATTCCTGGAACGTGACATCACGTTGAAACGAACGTGACAGAATGTCACGTTTGTTTGAGCATTGCGTCACGTTCGTCTGAACGTGAAGAAGCAGATTTTTAGCCAATTCACACTAAAACAAATGTGACACAATGCTCAAACGGACGTGACACTTTGTCAACGTGATGTCACGTTCCTGGAATGAGAGTGAACGCACACTAAAGAAACAAGTAAAGGAAATAGCTAGCAACCCGGATGCTGTGTAATGTTCACACAAATGTTTGTACCAAGGACAACTGTATAACAACGCATTCTTTATCATTAGGGAAAAAAAACACGGCGCAGATATATTATTAAACTAATTCTCTATTATTACTACCCTGCACACTGTGTTTCTTAATGCAAAATTCGAGGGGTCCTATTCAAAAGATCTTATCTGGGCGCTCCTATTCAAAGAATCTTATCTGCAAAGCAAGCGAATTTCACCAAGTTTCATCGTTTGAGGCAGCTACAAATCAAAATAATTTGGGATTGTAGTCACACAAACTTGAAGATGAAAGATCGAAGGAACTAATTGCACGTGTAGAAATATGTTCCGCTAACCCTCTTATCCGTCCCAGATGGTCAAACTTAGTGAAATTCGCGTACGTTGCAGATAAGATTCTTTGAATAGGAGCGCCCAGATAAGATCTTTTGAATAGGGGCCGTCGAATTGTCCCTCGTAATAAAAAAGAAATTGCGTATTACCATGGTTAGTGTTACGTCTTAGTAACGTACCAGTCGCGGATCCAGCGACGGCCTGAGTGGGACATTAGCAGTAGCACAGTGGGACAGTAGCGCATTTTGCCTACTACAGGGGCAAAGTGTTGCTTTTTAACCACCATTCAGGCCGCTATCTTGGGGTCAAAGGAGGGGCAATTGTTATTTTGTCCCCGCCTCTGGTTCCGGGTAACTTAACTTACTGTACAATTTTTTAAAAATGTTAAATCGAAGAAAAGTTTTGTAGAGCAAATAAAACTGCTAAGTATAACCCCAAGGGAAAAAATCCCTAACGTCCCTAACTAAAGGGATATTTCGCGGCCCCTTGATATAGGGACGGTCCCCATGGAAGGGCCAGCCCCTATGGATAGGGACAGTCCCCTTGTCAAAGGCGAGGGGGCCGCGACTCCCGCAATCATGTGTTCACCGGGTCGCAATCAGGCCGCAATCCTTGCAATCTTCCGAAATCCATGCAATCATCAGAAATCTTTGAAATCCTCCGCAATCTGCCGCAATCACGCGAAATCCTCTGCAATCTCGCGCAATCCTTCCAAAATCTTCCGCAATCCTGCGCAATCTTAGCGAAAACATTGTAATCTTGCATTAGACCCTTTCAGTCATCGCCTGGAGAAGGACAAAAGTAATCAAACAGACAGAAACCAGTAGCGCGCCACCTAGCGGCCGTTACTGTGCACTGTCAAAAGCTGAACCCTCATTGGTCTCAAGCGTATAAATCTGGACGAAGTGCATAGCAGTGGCCACTAGGTGGCGCGCATCTGGTTCCTAATTTTTGATGACTTATGTTCTTCACTGGGTGACGACTGAAAGGGTCTATCGTCCAATAATTCCTCCACACTCGCTCCTTTCCTTCGTTATTAGTTGGCCCGTGCTGACCTCACTGAATAGCCGCCCCTGCCCCACTAAAACGGTTTCCGCTTGCAGGCGCGGGAAGATCGGACAGGATATTAGGTCACAAAAAATCAAACAATAAATACGTAAGAAACAGAGCGGTCTCGCAATAATTTTAAGGATACTGTAAAGTGAAAAAATGTGAAATATCATTTTTCAAAATGTTTGTGGCATCATGTTTGTATTTTGGTTTCTAGTTGCTTACTATAAGATGAACTTAAACCCAAAGTTGAGGCACCCAACTCCCATTAGTTTCTGAGTTATTGAAGTTTACGTAACAAATTTGGTCGTTTCTCCCAAATTCTCCTTGCGAAGAACCAAAAAAGTTGTGGAGACTTCATTTTTGTTTTACAAGTTCTTTATTGATTTGCCTATCTCGTGGCAAAGCCGGATTTCCAAATTTCCACCATTAAACAGAAATTTTTCTCAAAAATTTATTTTTACCAAACTTTAATTAATTTTAGAAAAATAAGAAAAATACTTTTTCAAAATAAGATTCCGGCTGCCCTTTGCATATACAGTCAAATCTGGCTTTGCTAGTCTGTTTGCACGTTTATTGGGCTCTAAAATAAAAAATCACACTTCCGTAAACTTTTTGGTTCTTCGCAAGGAGAATTTTTAATAAACGACTAAATTGACACTAAAACCCTCATAACTTTGGAACTAATGGGAGTTGGGAGTCCAGTCTGTGGCTATAAAAGTTTTTCATAGTAAGCAACAAAATCACCAAAAACCAAAGCACTGACACCTATACTTTGAAAGACCCCCTGTCTGTAAAAAAAGATAGACACAATGACAACCCACGTAAATAAACGGTATTTCTCGGGTGTTCCAACAGAGTTATCTTGCATTCAGCGCAATCATAGTGCAATTTTGTGAAATCCATCGCAATCTTATTGCAATTTTGTGAAATCCATCGCAATCTTATTGCAATCTTGTGAAATCCATCGCAATCTTATGAAATCCGACCGCAATTATTGAAATCGCCTGCAATCTAAAGAGATCCGGCGCAATCTACGCAATCCTTGAAATCCACGCAATCCTGCGAAATCCATGAAATCCCCCGAAATCCCGCGAAATCCCGCCTCCTTGCAATCATGTGTTCACCAAAAAGGGGAGTTATTCCCCCCTCGGTCAAAGGGCCGCGAAATATCCCTTTGGAAAGGGACGTGCCGCGGAGTGTTCAAGTGTTCAAAAACATCTGCCTCTTGAACATCAATGTACAAATAAGGAACGCTTCCTGAGTAAACTTTTGACGCTGATAACAATGGTAGTGTCGCCGACACTCAATCTAAAGCCGTTTACAAGATACCCTTAATAGGTGTGTAGCGGGTTTGCCTACCTAAATCACCCACATTTTGCCTAACTGGCAGGCTGATTTATAGGGCCTTGTGGTCTGGAGGGCGGATCCTTAAGTCCATAGGGCTGATCCCCAAGTCCAAAGGGCCGATCCCTAAGCTCATAGGGCCGGTCCCCAAGTCCATAGGGCCGGTCCCTAACTTGATAGGGCCCGGCCCTATGGCAGATAGGGCTGAGCCCTTCCCAAGGGGCCAAGCCCTTTCTCGGATAGGGCTTGGCCCCTTCGGAAAGGGATCGTCCCTTTAAAATCATAGGGATTTTTTCCCTTGGGACTAGAGAATTGTTAAATAACACAACTGAACCCTGCTTTCGAATCATGTTGAAGAATGTCTTGCAATACAAGACTCGCGCAGGCTAGTGTTGGCTGAGCGATAGCGAAGCCCGTACTAACTCGGCTGGGGTTAGAAAATTTAATCTATCTGTATGTCAGCCAGCGCTACTCCTGCAAAGGCAGGCTAGTGCCGCAGGCCAAGGAAGGTGCTAACGCCAGGCGTGGGTTGTCGGAACTGTCGCCACTGTCTGGCGCACACGTACCTTCTCTGCAAACTCAACAGTGTACTCAGAACACTCTCCCCAGTCAACAAAACATAGCCCCGGTCCGGGACGGACCATGTTCGGACTATCCCTGTAGTGGTCCCTGCATGGTCCCCCGGGGATGTCCCTCATGTACCTCCCGGGACGTCCGCTCGGACCACCCGGCCCGGGGAACCGACGGGGCCAGCCGACAGCAGACGTCCCCTAGGTCCGGCGGACGCCCATCGGGGCCCGTGGAAAGGGTTTCGAAGGGCTAGATCGGCCGACGTCCCTGGGTCGTCCCAAGGACGTCCTTTTTGGGGCATGGCCCCGCGTTGCTTGGGGAAAAGCCGATGTACCAGTGGTCCGAGGCCTGTCCCGCCGGGCTAATCCCGGCGGATATCCTTAGCGGAGTCCCAGGGACGTCCTATTGGGACATGGCCCCTGGCGCATAGGCAAAACGCCCGACTGCCAGGGTCCCAAGCTGGTCCTAGGGGCTAGTCCCGGAGGGTTCCTTGAGGACGTCCCAGGTACATACTGTTCGGACATGGCCCTTCGATGAGATGACAACACTTTGAAGGAAAAGTCCAAAGTCATGTCTCAATGTGTGAAACGAGACCTATGCATATGGTCCCGGGCATGGTCCGCGCGGGACCTCCCTGGGACCTCCCCAGGACGTCCGACGGGGACATCGCTACGGTGGGGGACCTCCGGATGGCAAAGAAAACGCGTCCCCTGGAGGTCCGAGGGACGTCCGAACCGGACGTCCCGGGTGGACGTTCCGCGGACGTCCGCCGCAGACGTCCGTAGGGACTATCCCGGCGGACGTCCCTCGGACAAGCACCGTCGTTTGCCTACCACCGAGGGACGTCCCATGCTCGACTACATGATACGTGGCTAGAGATATACCTAGTCTAAACACTAAGCGGTTCACAAATTCACAGGAAAACCACGGTGCTTGTCACCGACATTGCGTACCTCCCAGGCGCGTCCCAGCATGTTTTCCATATTTTCCTTGTTTTTCCTGTGAATTTGTGAACGGCTAAGTGTTCAGACTAGGTATATCTCTAGCTGGCGCACCGGTTGAAGGGACCCACATGCCAATTGCACACCACCCACCTCCTTCCCCCCGTCCCCCTCAAAAAACAATTTGATGCACTTTAGGCCCTGTCGCTTAGTCACGTGAGGCAGGGTCTGAGCCCGAACCACGCAGGCCGATAGGGGAAGCCTCAAGGAACATCGCCACCAAATTTCAGAGAGTTCGGATCTCAGATGGCGTCACAGTCGCGGCGGAAAGACGCGGGGAGGTGGGACCTCCCAAGCGAGACCTTTAGTTTTCTCGCGCTGTGCACCGGGTAAATGTCAACCGATTTCGTTCAAACTTGGTGTGAGGTCATTTGGGACCTAGATGAACCTAAAAACCAACTCCTTTCAAAAATCAAATTTTTTTGAAACACCCTAGTGCTCACGAGCACACTCCGACGAGCGTGTACTCAACTGCATGTCTTTCCAGGATCTGAGCGCACTCTCGTTACAGTGTACTCATCAAGGCACACTCTCGTTGGAGTGTACTCATCTAAGCACACTCGTTGGAGTACTTTCTTGTCGGAGTGTACTTGTGAGTACACGCTGAACAGAGTGTGCTGAGCACAGTGTTGAGTTTGCAGAGTTGTTTAGTTATAAAAAGAGCATCTTCAGAAAATACTTAGGGGTGAGAAGAAAGTCACAAGGTCAAAGAAAGGGGTTAAAACCCCGTAAGAAGCAGTGCCGAGACGGGATCTTAGCTTACCTGAACTGTATCCCATTCAAAACACTGGATCGCCGTAGTGCTCCTCATAAATTTGACGAAGATCTGCATCTTTCGTGAGTCAAGATCCGAATCCCTGCGAAACAGAAAAGTTAAGTAGGCTGTGTGTTTCCACGCGTGTATGACACCCCACACGGAGAAAATCTTAAGAAACATTCTCAGCATGGTGGATTAAGAATGATACCCGAAAATTAAATCGTTTTTATCAAAATTTGCGTTCAGTGGGAACAGCTTTTTTCAAGAGGCATATTCGAGGGGTACGTAACTCAGAACAGTCACTGTACGCCTCGAAAACAGTCACAAAAACAGTCACACAATCAATTGGCAGTCACTACAGTCAAAGCAGTCAAAATAGTCAATTACAGTCGAACTTTGCACGTTTGGGGTCATACATGTTAAAAGCACTTGTAAAAACATTTTTTTGTGAAAAAGGGTAAAGATTTTACGTTTTTGTATTATTTTCTTCTAAATACGTATATCCCCTGGAAGACCCGAAGGCCCCTACTAAAATTCTGTACAAATAGAAAAATTGGTTGAATTCCACTTTTTACTTTGTGTATGCCCCACGTTAGCAGCAGGCTTTTATGTGCCCCCCGGCCCCCGCATCGGCCAATGAAATATTTCAAGTAGGGTCTTGCAGTGCACGGACTGCAATTTCTTCTTTCTTTTTTTATTCCTATCAAAAGTCATTTTTTTTCCAAGAATACATTCCAAACAACCACTGTACTGTTAAAACAGTCATCCCCAAAAATCAACACAGTCATTTTACAGTCAAAAAGTCGACTTCCATCCAAGCAGAACTAGACTGTTTTGCAGTCGTCTACAGTCAATTACAGTCAAAAAAGTCAAATTGACTGTAGACTTTTTCAGTCGCTGTACCGATATTCGAGAGTTACGTACCCTCGGGCATATTCCCGACAATGCTGGACGTTCTTTAACAAATCGTTTGGGCTGGGAAGCTGTAAGCAAAGGGTTTTGACTTAAGGGCCAAATCGACTGGCTGAAGCGACTGGGCCCCCCGTCGGCAGCGCGCAGCAGCGACTGACGTCCGGCGGCGCGTCTGCGCGACAGCAGTAGCAGCTCCGCCAGTGGAGCGACCACTGCTGAGGCAGCCGCACAGCTCGTCAGTCGCTGCCGATGAGCGGCGGGTTGGACACCCCCCCCCCCCCCCCTTTGGGAGTATTGCCGGTTTGAAGGCAGTACTTTTCCGTAAGGCGGCTCATTAGCGATGGATGCTCGATTCTCTTGCCAAAAAAGTTACTGAAAGTATCGCCCTTGCATTTACAGAGTTGGGAATTAAGAGTTTGGAGAATTCAAATGGTGCATTTCAAAGAACGGGCGGAGGCGATTGACACGATGTAGAGGTTGAGTTTGAGTAAAATGCACCGTTCGACCGCTAGAGGCGAAAAACCGCAAAATGTGGGGAGGCCGGGACGCCATTGTCTGGAATTTAGAGTGTCCTTACCTTCTCCGGAAGCACAGCCTGGCCCCGCTGGTGATGCCGCACTCGGCCACAGTCCGCTTGCAGGGAAGCTCCCGCTCCTCCATGAAGAGCCCGAAGCTCGGGCTGTCGGCGACAAACCCGATGGCGCGATGACCTTTGGAGCTTGGAGTGGATTTGAAGACAGCCCCCCAGCGCAGCGTCTCAACCGTGTCCGCGGGGTCTGCTCCCAGCTGCACCAGCACAGGGGGCTTGCCAGGGGCAAGAGGAAACACCTCCACGGTCACCTGCAGCGAGGGATGTGCTTGAATTTCGGTGTATCTTTTCATCAATTTTGAGGACTTGAAATGGATTCTGGCGACACTGTAAATCCAAAGGCAATACATTTTGAACCTTTTTTGGCGATACAATTGAGTATCGCCAATAAACGGTCTTACGGAAAAGTATTGCCTTCAAAACGGCGATACACAAAAGTAATGCCTTCAAAACGGCGATACACGAAAGTAATGCCTTCAAAACGGCGATACACGAAAGTATCACTAAAATTTGGCGATACTTTGGAGTAATGCCACGTAATGCCCGGCCAAGGGGATCCTTGGATTTCAAGGCGGCACATTTACCGTGTTACATGAATTTCGATGAGTTTTTTACCTGGAGACCCGCGCCGTGCTCACGGAGCTCGAGGGTGGACAAGCACTCGACGCCGTATTCGGCCAGGGGGCGGTCGTCCCGCAGCTCCTCGCCCGCGAAGTACAGGCGGTCCAGCGGCGTGGCGAGCCCGTCGTCCAGCCAGCACCGGACTTCGGACGCCGTGTCGGAGGCAGGGACGACCAAGAACGTTGTGCCGCGCTCATGCCGCACGTACAGCCACAGCCAGGCCCCGCGGCGCTGCTTGCCGCACGCGTACAGCACCGGCGAGGGGGCGCCCAGCACGTCCGACAGTCGCTGCGGGATGGAACCGTCCTGGGTGCGCAGCTCTTGCTCGGCCCGCGGGATGCCCAGCTGCTGCTCCACGCTCTCCTGGCGAGGCAGAGGCGAGAATCGACATCAACACGTGCGGGAGGGAGGGGTGAAAAGGGCCAATCTCCACCGCCTGCGACCGACCGGCTCAATGTGGGAAAACCCTTTACCACAAACTCAAGAGTTCATGGCACACCACACTCTATGAGAAACACATTAAATATCATGGGACTTTTTTTGTCCCACGATTTGAGCAATTTTAAGCACATCCGACGCTGATACAAATTTTGTCCCCGTCTGGAGACACATTTTGTCCGACGCCTGCCGAAAATCGTACTTCCACAAGACAATTTGTCTCGCCTGGCGGACACAAAATTGCATTACCACCGGATGTGCTTAAAATTGCATCATGCATGGGACAAAAAAAGTCCCATAACATTTAGTGTCCCTGGCGCCTGGCGGACACAAAATTGTATGTGGTTGAAATTGGATGTGCTTCAAATTGCATCATTCATGGGACAAAAAAAGTCCCATGACATTTAGTGTGAAGAGGTACGGTTTTCGCCGCTGGGTAATTCCACACCAACTTGAACACTCATAAACCTGACGTCGTCCGATTTCAACCAAATTTGGTGAATCGCCACCAATTAGTGTCTAGAATGACCCCCTAAAATGGTTTTGACTAATATGCAATAGTTCCGGAGATATAGCACTTCACCATTTTTGGCCAATTTCCAAGTTACAGAAACAGTGTTTCACTAAAATGCCATTATCTCGGCTCCTATTGGACTTAGAGGTCTGGCTCTGTGCTCATTGGAAAGGAATAAAAATTTTTCATTAAAATGTGGTACTTTTAGGTTTATAGGTCAAAAACTTAAAAAAATGTATTTTTCGATAAAACCTTCAACTTAAAAATGTCGTTTCCAAAATACGTCATCCTGAAAAAAAAAATTTTTTTCACCAAAAGGTCTCTTAAGGTGTCTACTTTAATGTCCTAAAGTGTCTCAAAAAGTATTTGAGTTTTTCAGCATTTACAGGGGAAACCGTGATGAAATGTGCCCAAAAAGTGCCATTTTTTCACTCGAAGCCCAGCGTACGATGGTCCTGTTGCAGTCCCACTCCTTCACCACCCTCAAAACTGTTACTCCTATGCCCAGCATCGATTGGTATGTATCAAAGTAATTGTTTGAGTGGGTCTGAGCGCTCAGGGAAGGGGTCAGATCAAATCCCAGCCTGGAACTTTGCGTAACAAGACATCAAATCGACTACTACTTTCCTCTCTCTGTCTCTCTCGCTCTCAATAGGTTTGCTACAGGCGGGGAGGCAGGGCAAGTCTACAGTGGTGACTTGCAATAGTTTACTTGGACCTGGAGCAACTAGGGTTAAGCTGAAACCCATAACACAAAATTTGGTGAAGAACGCCTGGGGGTAGGCAACCCGGCGCAAGCGGATGTGTAGCAGGCGCTCCCTCCACAGCATGCCAATTTTGTCATACATGGATGAGTTTGTTGCCTGTATTTCTCATATCCAAAACTTACCCCGTCTCACCCTGCTTTGTTGTTGTTTATGTTTGTTGGAAAGGACGCTTCCAGTACTTTCTGTCTTTGATCTGGATACTTTGACTACAATTTCTTGCAGATGTTTTGCCTGGAGTGTGAATTTGGTTGCTGTTGTTAACTGTGGTTTGTACCATAGCTTTGTTTCTGCTTTTCTAGCCTCTTGTTTACACTGTTTTTAACTGGATGTTTCTTTCAGTTTTTTTTTATTTGCGCCAGCCATTGTTCAGGAGAGAAGCCTTTCAAATTTGTTTGATTCCTTATTATTAATGGTAATGACTTATCCACTGCTGGTGTTTGTGGTTAAATTTGTTTTCATATCTAATTGCTTTTGTGTATTGGCAGGTGCACAATGGGTGACAAGCAACAAAAGCAACAAGCTCATCGAATCTGTTGTCTCAGATCTTTGAGTGGCCAGTGTAGTGCTGACATTGTTCCGAGAAATTCATTTACCGATGATGAAGTTCATTTGATAAGATTGAGATCTGGACTGAGTCGCATTGATAGTGTCTGCACTAATCACAAGAAAAACTTACTTGAGTTTTATTCTTCCCATTACACTAAATGTGCCAATCCGTTTGGCTCTCATAAGAAGCCTGTTTCCAAAGATCTTTATGAGATTAGTCTGACTTTTGCAAAAGAGTATGGACAAATAGTAAACCTGATTCCTGGCCAGAAATTATGTGTTAATTGCAAGAGGCAAGTTCCTAAAACATCACCTATCAACAAAGGAGCAAGCACTTCATGCGAAACTGCAGCCAGCAGTTCGCAACAACCACTGCCCATCGCTGCCAGCAGTGCTCGACACCCCACAACTACCAATAAGAATAATCCACCATCAGGCAGTGCCCAACTTGTAGCGGGAAGCAGCCAGTCAAGCAGTACATCTGGAGCTGGAGCATCGGATGATATTTTCCCCACTCCACCAGATATGGCTGTGAAGGCTATGGATACTACATGTGAAGCTGTTGGAGAGTCTCCAATGGCGGACCCCAAAATTATGAAGCAAAAAAGCTATCAAACTAAGAAGCTACAAAAAATCCAAAAAGCAGTTCACAATAAGTTTTCCAAAGCAGTAGGAGCCAAGAAAGGAGTGATCAAAACAGACAAAAACTTTGCAGAAACATTGGCCCAGCTGAAATCGAAGTTTTCCCAAATTGGTAAAGACCGGAAGAAGCAGCTCCACATCTTATCTGTCCTGCCGCTCAGCTGGACTATTTCCCAAATTGTTGCAGAGTTTGATGTTCCAAGATCTTTTGCCAGATTAGCAAAACGGCTTACCAGAGAACAAGGCGTTCTCCCTGATATACCTGAAAAGAAGGTGAGGAGACTGGAGCAATCAGTAGTTGACAAAGTGCAAAATTTCTACCGAGACAGAGAAAATAGTCGAGAGCTCCCTGGCAAGAAGGACTATGTGAGTGTGAAGCGACCTGATGGCACTCGTGAACAAAAACAGAAGAGACTGGTTCTGAGCAACTTGATAGAGCTATATGAGTCATACTTAAGTCAAGTTGCTAAAGAAGAGCCTGATTTTAAGGTATCGTTCTCTAAATTCTGTGAACTCCGACCTAAGGAGTGTGTTTTGGCTGGAGCTGCAGGGACTCATACTGTATGTGTGTGTGAACACCATCAAAATTTCAAGTTATTGGTTGATGCTGCTGCCTTGGAAAATGATGAAGAAGATGCAGCTGGTAAATATCTCACTGACAAAGACATCATGAAGATGGTAATGTGCAACCCACCATCAGACAAGTGTTATTTAGGCCAATGTAAATCGTGCCCTGGAACTGATCAACTGCGAGAAATGATGGAAATTAATTTTGATCTTTATGGCTTAAAAAACATTAGTTTCAAGGAATGGTCATCGACAGACAGAAGTGAACTGGTTACAAAGAGTCTTCCTTCTACAGCATTCATTGAAAAACTTATAAACCAGATTCCAGATGTCCTAGTTCATGATTTGCTGGCCAAAAAACAGGGCAGATTTTTGAATAAAAAGAAAGAAGAACTGAAGGAGGGAGAATGCATAGTCATTGGAGATTTTTCTGAAAATTATAAGCCAGTCTGGCAAGATGCTGTCCAAGGAGTTCATTGGTCTGATGTGCAAGTGACCATTCACCCATTCATAATTTATTACAAAAATGGTGATGTAGTGGAACATTTAAACTATGTTATAATCTCAGATTCCACAGCCCACGTGCAGGAGTCTGTTTATGCATTCCAGAAGCAACTTGTTCCCTATCTAATGAACAAAATTAGCAATCTGAAAAAGATTTACTATTTTAGTGATGGAGCCGCTAAACAATATAAAAACAGGAAGATGGTGGCAAATTTAAGGAAGCACTATCGTGACTTTGGTGTTAAAGCGGAGTGGCATTTTTTTGCCACAAGCCACGGGAAGGGTCCCTGTGATGGCCTTGCCGGATCAATGAAGAGGCTTGCAGCAAGAGAGAGTCTTCAAATGGTGTCATCAGAGAGCATTTCTTCTCCATTTTTGTTCTACAAGTGGGCTGCAGAAAAATATAAAGATTCGATTGAAGTTGTTTACGTGAGCAAAGAGAAGATTGCTTCTGTCAGTCTTGCAAATACAGACAGAATGGAGACCGCTCCTGAAGTAGCTGGGATCAAGTCAGCCCATGCCGTTATTGTACTTTCTGAAAATACTGTTTGCCTCAAACAATACTCAGAGGCTAATACTGGACTTTATTATTATTATGGTCCTCTAGATTCTGTTCAGTTTGATGACCTGCATGGCTTTGTAATTGTCCGAAGACCAGATGTCATTCCATGGACTGTTGCATTTGTTGATGGCCAGAACGCTGAAGCTCAAGAGATTCAAGTTGTCCCTCTTACCAGACAGGGAACTCGCACATCTCTTAGATTTAAATACCCTGATGATTCTCCAGAAACCATAACTATGAAGGTGTGGGATGTGATTGCTGTGTGCAATGTAGAGTCTGAAGACGGAGTGAACTACAAAATTAAGACAGCTGTTCAGAAATTAGCTAATGAGAAGACCCAGACTGAGTAAGATAGCATGACTTTAAATCAGTCGGATTTACACAAATTAAAAAAATACTAATCATGATTTTATTTTACAGGTCAACTTCAGCTCCTGCAAAGAAGAAAAGGAGGAACAACTAGAGAGAAAGACTGCCTAATCATTTACTTAATTTTAGAACTCCTAACTGATCTAATAAAAATAAGTCTAATTCCCATTATCTTAATATTTTGTCTGATTTGCTTATTTTCACCACAGTATGACAGAGGAACTGTCAGAACAAGTCACCAGAGTCGGCGGGGGAATTCTGTGTGGGGAGCGCCTGTGGCTGGGAAGGTAGGCCAGCCCGCTACACATCCGCTTGCGCCGGGTTGCCTACCCCCAGGCGTTCTTCACCAAATTTTGTGTTATGGGTTTCAGCTTAACCCTAGTTGCTCCAGGTCCAAGTAAACTATTGCAAGTCACCACTGTAGACTTGCCCTGCCTCCCCGCCTGTAGCAAACCTATTGAGAGCGAGAGAGACAGAGAGAGGAAAGTAGTAGTCGATTTGATGTCTTGTTACGCAAAGTTCCAGGCTGGGATTTGATCTGACCCCTTCCCTGAGCGCTCAGACCCACTCAAACAATTACTTTGATACATACCAATCGATGCTGGGCATAGGAGTAACAGTTTTGAGGGTGGTGAAGGAGTGGGACTGCAACAGGACCATCGTACGCTGGGCTTCGAGTGAAAAAATGGCACTTTTTGGGCACATTTCATCACGGTTTCCCCTGTAAATGCTGAAAAACTCAAATACTTTTTGAGACACTTTAGGACATTAAAGTAGACACCTTAAGAGACCTTTTGGTGAAAAAAAATTTTTTTTTCAGGATGACGTATTTTGGAAACGACATTTTTAAGTTGAAGGTTTTATCGAAAAATACATTTTTTTAAGTTTTTGACCTATAAACCTAAAAGTACCACATTTTAATGCAAAATTTTATTCCCTTTCCAATGAGCACAGAGCCAGACCTCTAAGTCCAATAGGAGCCGAGATAATGGCATTTTAGTGAAACACTGTTTCTGTAACTTGGAAATTGGCCAAAAATGGTGAAGTGCTATATCTCCGGAACTATTGCATATTTGTCAAAACCATTTTAGGGGGTCATTCTAGACACTAATTTGGGGGCGATTCACCAAATTTGGTTGAAATCGGACGACGTCAGGTTTATGAGTGTTCAAGTTGGTGTGGAATTACCCCGCTGACCTTATTGACGTGATTTGCCGTATTTGGAAGTTCAGAGTTTACCGTACATCGGAGTAAGGGGTCAGCGCACAGTTTCGTGCATGGCTTATGCACAAGAAACTACAGCAGTAAAGCGTGAGGGCTTTCACCTTGAGGCTGTCCAGGGAGTCCGTCGCGGGGCAGGCGGCGAACACCATGCGGCCCGTGGGCGCCTTGACGCTGACGATTACGGCGGAGGGGCCCCGCTGGGTGGAGAGCAGCCATTCGCACCCGTCCAGGAGCTTGCGCTCGAACACACCGGGCCACACGCCCAGGCGCCACTTGGTGCGGCGCAGGCCCCGCAGCTCCGCGTCCACGTCCGTCAGGGTGCGGCCCGAGGCGTCGCGCAGGGCCTCCACGAGGATGGACCGGCCGCCCGTGCTCACGTCCCGCCGCACCGTCGTGCTGCAACACGCGCCGCCACTCTTACCGTGCAAACTCAGTGCATGGCACACACTTTAAAATGTATGCCTGCCAACAGGCACACTGTTTTAAAGTGAGTGCCTGCATGCACACTGTTTAAATCAGTGTGCTTGCCAGGCACACACTTTAGAACAGCGTGCCTAACCATTGGTCCTGGGCCTGGGCGCACAGTTAAAATCTGTGTACTTCCATGCACACTGTTTAAAGCAGTGTTTAAAACAGTGTGCCTCCAGGCACACACTTTAAAGCAGTGTGCATGGAGGGATACATTTTTTAAGTGCGTGGTATGCACACACTTGCGTTTGCAGAGTACATCTACACTGAAAAGAAAAACTGTGAACACAACTCTACACTAAAAACTTGTCAACACTTTGACGGTCATATCACTGGAAGTCGACGAAATGTAACGTCACATTTGTTCGAATGTGAATTTTGTCACGTTCGTTTGAATATGATATCACATTCGTTTGCATGTTGATCCACGTTCAAACGAATATGTCACCCTACTCAAACGGCTGAGTCACGTTCAAACAAATGTGACATCACCACATTCAAACGAACGTGACAAAATTCATACTCCAGAGAATATGACGTCACATTCGTTTGCTATCAGTGACCAAGTCTATATTCCTATACCGAATATATCAAATCGAAGGGGTCGTATTCGAAAGATGTTATATACTGCATATATTTTGCAAAGAATACGACACAATTTTCTTTTGAATTGGTGAATACTGTAAATCAGCAGTACAAAATCAGGCCTATAGCTACAGTTCGCTGGAAAGTGTCACTTTTTAGCGAAAATGCATACAAACAATGCAATGCGAAAATGCAATAAAATGTAAAAAAAATAACTTTAAAAAGCTCTGTTATTCGAGATGGCCTCGTTCCATATAACCACAGTTGCCCGAAAAATATTTATAGACTTCTGCGAGGTCATTTTTAATTTCGGTCAACTGTGTGCGAATTTTAGAAATTGTCGGCCCGATTTAAGCACTCTTGCCCGTAATTATTATCGTTAATTGAGAAATAGCAGATATATATTTCGGCGTGTCGTGCAAATATTTGACTTTCTTTTTTAAAACAAGGTGTAAACTTGCCCAAATTTTAAAATATTTTTTTTTTAATTTCTTTTAAATTCTTTTGGGAACTGGGCGAGCAGGTTACTAAAGAATTTAATTAAATTAAATAAATAAATAAAAGAAAATGTCACCGATATGGACGTCTCGGCGTGAGTGTTCGCGGTCGAGATACTCGTGCTCGCGCGCAACCCCGTATCCGCTTAGCCCTTAGTGGATAGTGGATAGTGGACGTTTCAGGAGAGTCTGTTCCCGGTTATAAGGCGCTGGTTCAGTGCGACGTTGCCGCTCACCAATAACAACATCATCATTTTGAACTTATTGCGTTCTTTCCTGAAGCTGCTCCAGCTGCATTTCTTGCATAGTGAGTTAGAAATGGCCAAAACACGAGATGAGCACCATTTGTAGTGGGTGACAAGACGAGGAAGTAAATAAACAAAAGCAGGCTGGCAACGTCGCACCCTGAAATGTCCACTGTCCACTATCCACCATCGCCCAAGCGGATATAGGGCAAGTTCACCGTACTGCAGCATTTTTCATACTGTCGTCCAGCTTTAGCCTGAACAGTGATTGCAGTTCATGTGGTCTCAGACAGCGGGGACTGAAGAGAGGCTAGGTCGACTGACTATGAAAAATGAAACATCCGCTTCAGACGCACGCTCTTCTGTAAGAAATATTCTGAAGGTGCTGACAGTTTATAGCTGACAAGTAGATTTTTGAACGAGACCCATCTTTAATCAAGGACGGATCGAGAGACGGGTTCAGGGGGGAGGGGGGGAGGATGTCGCAAAGGTTGCCTGCATACAGGGGCAAAGTGCGACTTTGCCTGCCTTTCAGGCGGCAGGGAGGGGCGACGCCCCCCTCCCTCCCCCTCGGATCCGCCCTTGGCTTCAACGTGGTGTGACCAAAGACCAAAGCTTGCACGTTAGGCGCCAAAAGACCCGAACAGACTCAGCCGTCAAAACACGGGGCGGTAGACACTGAGAGACGGTTGCAAGCAACCGCCTGAAGCCCTACACTGCGATTCGAAGTGTGAGACAGTCTCACACTATTTAGTGCGAACCGCTATGCCTCGCTGTGAGCCACGTTCGTCTAACGATTGCAAGACTTTTAAGTATGAGACACGGCTTGTCCCACACTTGCTACCTATGGCTCCCTGCGGTCTAATGCTACAGGACCCACGCTAGCAAGGTGGGAGTGTGGACATCCGGGCCCGGGGTCTCACACTTGCAAGCGTTAGAAAACGTGCCTACAAAACCCAACTGTCTACTAAGTACACACTTACAAATGCGTGCTTGCAAGTACACACTTGCAAACGCATGCTTGGCCAAGTACACACTTACAAGTGCATGCTTGCAAGTACACACTTTCAAACGCATGCTTCACGCATGGAGTTATACGGCGTCAAGCATGCGTTTGTATGTGTGTACTTGCAAGCATGCATTTGTAAGTGTGTACTTGGCCAAGCATGCGTTTGTAAGTGTGTACTTAGTAGACAGTTAGCACTGGTAAAACTAAAGCGTAGTATTACCCACTGTTTTCAAGCGTAGTCAGGTTACGCTTGAAATCAAGCGTAACAGGCTCATCCGCCAAGATTCCTCCTATCAAAATGCATGCGGGAATCTCTAGCCTATGCTTGATTTCAAGCGTAACGTCTTCAAGCGTAACTTTATGCTTGACTCAAGCATAGAGTTACGCTTTAGTTTTACCAGTGAGGTTTGTAGTGCACGTTTGTCTAACGCTTGCAAGTGTGAGACGCCGGCCGGATGTCCACACTCCCACACTTGCTAGCGTGGGTCCTGTAGCATTAGACCGCAGGGAGCCATAGGTAGCAAGTGTGGGACAAGCCGTGTCTCATACTTAAAAGTCTTGCAATCGTTAGACGAACGTGGCTCACAGCGAGGCATAGCGGTTCGCACTAAATAGTGTGAGACTGTCTCACACTTCGAATCGCAGTGTAGGGCTTCAGGCGGTTGCTTGCAACCGTCTCTCAGTGTCTACCGTCCCGTGTTTTGAGGGCTGAGTCTGTTCGGGTCTTTTGGCGCCTAACGTGCAAGCTTTGGTCTTTGGTCACACCACGTTGAAGCCAAGGGCGGATCCGAGGGGGAGGGAGGGGGGCGTCGCACAGTGGGCTGAAACGCCCAAAACGCGATGATAATTCTGGAGGGGCCCCATCAAGGCCAGAATCGGTTTCCAGGGGTTTTCGAGTGCGAGGAACCCATTTCTGACAAAATGAACGACAAGGGCGGATCCAGTAATGGTTAGGGGGGTTAACCGTAACGCGGACATCTATGGCCACCAAAATCGGTATCTAGGGGTTTTCGGAAGCGAGAAAACCATTTCGGACAAAATCAAGCACAAAAAAGTGAACGACGGTGGTAGATCTAGCAATTGGTTGCCATTCTTTTATCCATTTACCCCCTTTTGGGGCCACTTTTCTCGAAAACGGGGGCAAACGGCGAAATGCACCGGAAAGTAAGCGGTCCACTCTACCACGGATATATCTCGGACCCTTTCGCAAATGTTCGCAACTCGACTTATCTCGAAGTGAAAAACGTCGAAGACTCGATTTTACACTACTTTCTCCGGCTTGTTTCTTCTGAATGGGAAACGCAAATGTAAATGTAGGGAATGCTCTGGATTGGTCGCATCGTCAGCTTTCCAAAAAAATATTACATGTTGGGTTTATCCTGAACGAGACGGCCAGTAGAGGGCAAACAGTAGACCAATTACAATCATTGCGCGAAAACGTGAAAATGTGCCAAGTTTGGCGTTCCCCCAGGGCTCGCACGTATGTGATATAGGCAAACAGATAATTGTCCCGTATAGCTCAGACCTTCCTTGAAAATATCTCATAGTTTGTTGGACTCCACTCCTCGATTTCAAAATATCCACTTCTCATCGCGTTTTCGGCGTTTTAGCCCACTGTGCGTCGCCCCTCCTTGCCGCCTGAAAGGCAGGCAAAGTCGCACTTTGCCCCTGTATGTAGGCAACCTTTGCGACATCCTCCCCCCCCCCTCCACCCTGAACCCGTCTCTCGATCCGTCCTTGATTAAAGATGGGTCTCGTTCAAAAATCTACTTGTCAGCTATAAACTGTCAGCACCTTCAGAATATTTCTTACAGAAGAGCGTGCGTCTGAAGCGGATGTTTCATTTTTCATAGTCAGTCGACCTAGCCTCTCTTCAGTCCCCGCTGTCTGAGACCACATGAACTGCAATCACTGTTCAGGCTAAAGCTGGACGACAGTATGAAAAATGCTGCAGTACGGTGAACTTGCGCGCGAGCACGAGTATCTCGACCGCGAACACTCACGCCGAGACGTCCATATCGGTGACATTTTCTTTTATTTATTTATTTAATTTAATTAAATTCTTTAGTAACCTGCTCGCCCAGTTCCCAAAAGAATTTAAAAGAAATTAAAAAAAAAATATTTTAAAATTTGGGCAAGTTTACACCTTGTTTTAAAAAAGAAAGTCAAATATTTGCACGACACGCCGAAATATATATCTGCTATTTCTCAATTAACGATAATAATTACGGGCAAGAGTGCTTAAATCGGGCCGACAATTTCTAAAATTCGCACACAGTTGACCGAAATTAAAAATGACCTCGCAGAAGTCTATAAATATTTTTCGGGCAACTGTGGTTATATGGAACGAGCCATTCCCTGTTATTCCACCAATCAAGAGTGGGTTATTACCAAAAGAAAATGCAATAGCTAAATTATTGCACTCCAGGGTGGAATAAATCGCGGGAATCGTTGACTCGGTTTTATCGCAAAAATTCGTAGTAAATTATCGCAGAATGGATGACAGTGTACCTGTTGCCATGGAACACGACGTTGGCTTCGTTCACGACGGCGGGGCGGCAGTCGTCCCAGGTCTCCCCGGGCCCGAGCTCTGCACGTTCCAGTTGGTAGAAGAAGCCCTCTTCCAGTCCGTCGTTCTGGAGATACACTGTGACCCGGCCGCCGGGCCTCGGCGCCACGAATCGAAGGTTTGGCTGGCCGGTCGCCGGGTCCACCAGCGAGATGGCGCGCAGAGGCGCCCCGTTGCACAACACCTTGAGGATCACCAGTGGCAGCCCCGCTGGGCTGACGAGCACGGCCAAGCTGGGGCTCGCATCCTTCTGGGAGAAACCAAACAGCAATAGATTAGTTTAAAAGTTGCACGCACTGGTAAAACTAAAGCTTAGTTTTACCCTCTGTTTACAAGCGTATCAGGTTACGCTTGAAATCCAACGTAACAGGCGAGGCTCATCCGCCAAGATTCCCCCTATCTAAATGCAAGCGTAACGTCTTCAAGCGTTACCTTATGAATCTTCATTTCTTTCCGAGGGATCCGTGGCAACATTTATTCCAGATGTCTTCTCGTAA